TATATATATATATATATATATATATATATATATAACAAAATAGTTAATTCGTTGATGATACGTTTACGTGTGATTTATTCAATTTGTGATAATGAAACATTTCATAAACGTTTCTTCTCTCTTTCTCTATTAATCTATCTGTCTGTCTATTCGAATTGCTTATCACTTACAATCAGTATCGTTAATCCAAATAAAATGAGAGGATAAGTAAAGAAAAGAACGAACAGAAGTAGAAACTGAAAGCAAAAACTGCTTTTATAAGCATACCCTACTCATCGCGATCGAAAAGTTATAATTAAAAGATAGATACACACCTGTTATATATATAAGAGAGAAGCTTGCGTTTTTCGCAGACATTGAGAATAGACCTGTAAATTCAACGAGAAGGTCTTTTTTTTATTCTTTTAACTTATTTTATTTTATTTTATCTTTCTTTGTATTTCTTCTGTATTTTCTTCCTTTTTCTTGCTTTGATCGAAACTTCAAATTGGATTTAGTCTGTCGTCTGATAACGAAATCAGCTTGTCGTTCTGAGAGGGTTGGGGTGGGTATGGGGGTCGGGGCTAGTAAGAGGAGAAAAAGAACTACGAGGACTATAACTACGCGGAAGTTGTGCTATACTTAATTGACGTAATCTCATTCTTATGCAATCGATAACGATATCGATTGCTTTAATCAAATCCTATTTTGTTTAAATACTCCGAAAAATCGAATAGAAGTTTCATATAAAAAATTCCTTTTCTTTTTTTAAGAAGAGGGATTAACAAATGTTAGTAAAAAATATTCAAAGATTTTGTTTTATTTTTTTATATCGTCACCCAGTGAGAAAATTCTGTGGTAATATCAAAACAAAAATAAAGAAAAAATAGTTTTATATTTAAACGTTGAAAGATAAATAAACAAAAAATGGTCGAACTTTATGAGCTTAAAAATACATTCGTTCGTGAAAATAAATATAAAAATAAAAAAAAGTTCTTCGTTTAGAGCTTTCGTAGCATCAGAGGTAAAGAAGGAGGGGGTAGATAGGGTATCGTTTTAGTGGCCCGATTTCAATGAAAGAACAAGAGGAGTTCGGATGAGAGAAAGAGAGAGAGAGAAAGAAAGAAAGAAAAGAGGTTACACAAATGGGTTGAAACAAAAGCGGAAAAAGCGCGAGGCTCGGCACTATTCGGAAGTTTTAATTAAAAGATAGGCGATGACCGTCGCGATCGTTGGCGGTGGTGTGGCAGTTCTCTCTTCGTTGATGAAAAGCACCAACAATTGTTGAGAGAAAGAGAGAAAGAGAGACAGACAGACAGACAGACAGACAGACAGACAAAGAGTAAAAAAGAAAAAGAAAAGAAGAGAGAAATAAAAAGAACGAAGAACGAAAACGAAAGTGCTGTATATATATATAATATATTCGGTCAAACATAATTCCAAAAGCTTTTTTGGTTTCTCGTTTACGAGTCAACCCAACACGTCAAAGACACACACATACGATGAAACTTTAGGACAACTCGTCTTCTTCTTCTTATATATATATATATATACTACTTTTATTTTTCCCTTCACACAAGTGACCTTTTTAAATTGGCTAGCCCTGTATTACGACTCCCGAGTACCTTTGGAACCGCGTAAAAAATGGGGGAAAAAGTGCCAACGTGTCAACGCGCGAGATGTGTCTCACCCGTGTAGTGGGTTTTTTTCCGGCGGTGGTGGTAATAAGAAAAGATAAGATCTGCGTATTTGATCTGATGGATTCAAGGAAAAAGATAGAAAGGAAAGAAAGAAAGAAAGGGATGAGATGATAAAGTACCACGCATACGTACACATGTGTGCTTTTAAAAGAAAAAGAAAGAAAGAAAGAATGAAAGAAAGCCAGCCACCACAGACAGCCCCATTGGTCCTCCTTCGTAAGTTTCTATTCGCGTCGTACGTGTAAAATGCCGTGAATGTGAGTAGTGTACGCGAAAAGATGGAAAGAGATGGAAAAGAAAAAAATGAGACGACGAGATCGGAGTCTGAACGGTGCTGTCCTCCTCGTGCGAGATTCGTTCTTTGTATATGCTTGTGTGTGTGTGTGTGTGTGTG